GCAGTTGACAGAAGTTGACAGTAACTAAAATTCGCCATTTTCCTTGCAACTTGGGGAGTGCCAATGTTGCAACAGTCTGCAACTTAATGAGTTAAAATATTTAAATTTTTGCTTGAATATCTTATATTTTGAAAAAAGTATAAACTGTACGGTCTAAATTTAGTTTACACCAAGTTGTAAACACCATATAAGGATGGACATTCCATTTTTGGAAAAACAAACGTTACGGGGCAGTTTCATGCCTCTCCTATACAGGCTAATCATTAAGGTGCATGTACAATAGCACATAACTAAATCAATCTCTATATACTTTAATACAGCTGATAAAAAGACTTTGGATGGACTTTTAAACAACCCAGAACAATTGTGTGGTAATAACAAGGAATTAGGTAAGTAGTTTAGTTATTATATTATCTAAAATAATTATACATCTATTCATATGTAGATAAATATAGATAAGTATATTAGTTTTGCATGGTTTTTTCTACAACATGCATCTTATAGATAGTGAGACTGAGCGCCCAGACCGCCATGTACGAGGGACAGAGCCATGAACATTCTACATTGCTGGCAAAAAAGAAAAAGATAAATATGCCTGAAAAAGTTACAGTTGATGACGATGTTGAAACCAAAATGATACATTCTGAACCAAATATACATGAAGGTAATGCAGGTATCAGCGGCTTTCCCGGGGGGTCGACCCCCAGGTAACTCACGGGCAACCCCCGGGCATGGCACAAAATTTGTTTCAAAATCACGCCCCGGAGACCGGGGATTTAGCCTACATTTGTATTTTGAATATTAACCCCGGGGACAAACGTCCAGGATTTGCATATGGACTGCTGCTATATCGGTCAGCGGTGATTCATCAAAAAAAATTCTTAATTATCATTTTTGAAGATGCTTCGAGCCTTCGAAGTTTGAAGCAAATTCGAAGCATTTCGAAGCACATGAACAATATACCGTCAATTGCAACTAAGCAGAAACATGTCATCAGAAAACGCGTCCAATTGGCTGTCAAACATGATTTGTTTGGACTTGAAATGTGGATTTGAAATATTGACAGTCAACTGTCAATAGTTCAAATTTAGAAACACATTCATATTGGGCTGGGATTAGCTTGCAAACACTAAATCCGTGATTAAATTCGTCTGAATTAAATTCAACGTATGAAACAGGCCTTATATTTTGCGTGCAACAAAAATTAGGGAGGCAAGGCAAACCGGCAGCTACGCAAGCTATGTCCAATTTATAGATCGCGTTTTCTCTGCCTCGTACCCAGGCACTTTGGTTTGTACATGTGGGACGGCACACAAGGGAGAAAAATAGAAAATTAATCCACACATCCCACGCAAAGGCCACACAAGCAATAGAACAACATAGCGCCTGGGTACGAGGCAGGCATTTTCTCATGACGCGTTTCTGCTTAGTAGCAATCGACAGTAGGTGAGTGAGTGTAATTTAATCCTTTTATTTATAAATGAATAATTAGCCATCTATCAATAAAAGTTCGAAAAACCAGAATAATTGTTTGAAACTATAAAAGACACAAACCTTTTAAACGTTTTGTATCAGATACTGATTTATTAAATAGGATAAGATAACAAACGTATTAATGACAAATCTCCTATATAAAATTGTGTATGAATTTTTAGTTAAAAAATATGTTCTTTACGGCCTATGCCTCATTGTTTATTGAATGAGATGCCCAAAAATATGTTGATAAGTATATTAACTTACTACAAATTTCTTTGTAAATAGCCATTTGTTATATTTGAAATTATTGTTTTCCAAATTTCGCCCCGGAGGTAGGGGTATTTGTGACAAAATTTTGCCCAAACCCACGGGCATTAGTGCCCTTTTGTCAAGGCTGTCTTGACAAATCCCGTCGACCCCCCCCCCCCCCCC